TTCTATTTTGTTTTCTGTGTTGATCCTTGTAAGTTTTTGTAGTAGGTAGCTATGTCACTAGTACTCTCTAGGAAAAGTCTGTTCTTCAGGGATACCTTCTGTGTATAGGACATTCTTGGTTTGTGACTGTCCCAAGATCCTACCTTCCTAGTCAATTAAGAGTGAAATGTTGGTATCTGTTTGACTCAGGCCACAGTTATTTGGTGGTGGGCTATGGTACGGTTATTAGTCCAGACATTCCCAGTATTGTTACAGAAAGGAGAACAACTGATTACAACAGGTACGACATCTTAGCTAAAGTAGTATAATTAGCAATAATAATAGCATTAAGCACAGTTTAGAAACTGACAAATTGTGGTAACTATTAAAAAATATTGAACACTTCACGAATTTGTGTGTCATTCTTGCACAGGGGCCATGCTAATCTTCTCTGTATTATTCTAGTTTTAGTATATGTGCTGCTGAAGCAAGCACTATAATAATTTTTTTAAAAATTTAGACGTAATGTATTTTTTTTAATCATACCTTGTACGTACAGTTAATCCTAGACAGACTGTTGTATGTTAGGTCTCTGGAACTTTTTCCTCCTGTCGACCTGACACCTTGTACTCTTTGATTACTATTTTCTCCTACCCATCAGCCCTTGGAGAGCACCATTCTTCTCTTGATTCTATGAGTTTGACGGTTTTAGATTCCTTATGGGAGTAGTATCAGGTAGTGTTTGTCCTTCTATGTCTAGTGTCCTCTAGTTTCACTTGGCACAGTGTCCTCTAGTTTCATCCAATGTCATCACAAATGGCAAAATAGTCTTATTTTCTAAGGCAGAATAATACTCCATTGTGTGTATATACTGTGTCACATTTTCTTTATCCGTTCATCCATAAGTAGGTGTGTGGGTTGCTTCTAGGTGTTCAGTACCATGAATAATGCTGTAGTCAACATGATAGTGCAGATGTCTTGTCAAGATCCAGATTTCATTTCTTTCTGATTTACACACAGAAGTGGGATTAGTGGGTCATATGGCAGTTATATTTCATTCATTCTTTCATTTATTGGTTTACATGTGGTACTGGGGATTCAACCCAGGGCTTTTGGACCAAGTTATATCCCCAACCCTGTCTTACTGTTTATTTTCAAGACTGAATCTTCCTAAATCACTATGTTGCCTAGGCTGGCTTTGAACTTGCAAACTTTCTGCCTCAGCCTCCCAGAGTACTGAGATTATAGGCACACACCACCACACCTGTCATATGGTTTTAATTTTTTAGGAAATTTTGTACTGTTTTCCATGGTGTTTTTTAGGAAAATTTGTACTGTTTTCCATACTGTTTTTTTAGGAAATTTTGTACTGTTTTCCAACTCCACCAAGGAATATGTATTTCTTGTGTATAAAGGTTTCCTTTTCTTTGTGTACTCCCCAATAATACTCTTTTGTGGTCTTTAAAAATTATTTATTTATTTATTTATTTATTATGGTGCTGGGATCAAACAAAGGTCCTCCCCACAGCTAAGCAAGTTCACTACTACTGTGGTACAACCTCAGCCATCGTTTATTTTATTTTATTTTATTTTATTTTTTCGGTTTTTTTCCAGTACCGGGAATTGAACTCAGGACCTTGCGCTTGCCAGGCAGGCGCTATGCCGCTGAGCTAAATTCCCAGCCCCTATTTTTTAATAAATAGCCTCCTAACAGGTGTGAAGTGATGTCTAATGCTTTTGTTTTGGATTTCTCTCATGATTAGTGATGTGGAGTACATTTTCACATATGTGTTTACTGTCTGTATATGTTCTTTGGAGAAATGCCTATTACCTTTTTTCATTGATAAAATTGGAATTTTTTCCTTTACTATTGAATTCTAGGCATCCCTTATACATGAAGTATTTTGGATAGTAACCCTCCATCAGATGTACATTTGGCAAATATTTTCTCCCATTCTGCAGGTTGCCTTTTCATTTTGTGGAATGTTTCCCTTTCATTTGCAGAGGCTTTTAGGTTGATGTAATCCCACTTGTCTCGTTTTGCTTTTGTTGCCTGTGTTTTTGGTGTCATGACGTGATCTCTGTTGATTTATCCCTGGTACTGGTCATTTACCCGCTCTCTTTCTCTTTTGTCCTCTGTCTTGCTGGTCCTTTATCAGTTTTATTAGTTTTTTTTTTTTAAAGAACTGACTTTTAACTTTTATTCCTCTGTATTTTATTCCTTTTATTTTTATTTCCTTCCTTCTGTTTGTTGTAGGTTTAATGTATTTTTTTTTTATCTTTCAAATTTCTTTTTCAATACATGTAGTTAAGGCTATGGATTGCTTTGTAACCATGGCATTACTATGTCATATATGTTATATATTACATATTCATTATTACAAATATATATATGTTAAATTTATATAAAATGTAGGTGTGTATGCGTGCATGTGTGAGCGTGTGAGTGTGCTGGGGATTGAACGCAGGGCTTCTCTTGTGCTAGGCAAGTGCCATACCATTGAGACATATTCCTCAGCCCCTTCCACAACTTCTGATATGTAGAATTTCAAAAATTATTTATTTTAAAGCATTTTCTAATTTTCAGTGCAACCTTGAATCAAAATTCCTTATGTATTTAAATAGTATATTTCTAGCAAGGAGAACTTCTGGGATCTTGTTGATTTCTAGCTTCATTCCACTGTGGTCCAAAAACATGCTTTCCAATTTTAACCTTTTGAAAGCTGTTGGGGTTTGCTTTTAGTTCTGAACACAGTCAGTTTTGATAAATATTTCTTAGATACTTGAATGTATGTTTTGCCGTTGCGTTCAGTGATCAGTATATTCAGTTATTTCCTGTGTGTCAGTTATATTGTTAAAATCTGCTGTATACTTTATCTTTGTCTGCTTATTTTATCCTTTCCAGAGAAGGCTATGCTAAAATCTCTTACAGTGACTGTGAACTCTCCTATTTCTCCTGCTGTCAGTTTTGACTTATGTATGTATGAGTATCTATTTTATATATATATATATATATATATATATATTTACAATTGTCATATATTCTTGGTGGGTTGAAATTTACCATTATTAAAGGTTCAATGTTTTGTAATAGTGCTTTCTTTAAAGTTTCCTTTCTTGGAAATTAGTATAAATGAAATCAGATTTCTTCTGACTCATATTACATGTCATATCTTTCCCAATCTTTTATTTTAAATTTTCCCCCTTTGTTTAAATATATAAAACATAACATACTTTTTTTTTTTTTTTTTTGGTTTTTTGGTTTTTCTCTGGTACCAGGAACTGAACTCACGACCTTGTGCTTGCCAGGCAGGCACTTTTGCCGCTGAGCTAAATCCCCAGCCCCATAACATACATTCTTTTGCAAGGAGCATATTATATGTGTGCGTGTCATGGAATCTGAATATTTATCTTTTAATTGCAGTCCTTCGTCCTTATATTTAATCTTGTGGTTCAAAATGAGTCTTGAATTTGTTGCTTGATATCTGTCATTAGTTTGGAAAATTATCAGCCCTTCAAATATTGCTTAGGTCTTAAGCTGTTCTTTTTTGGGGGCTCAAATTATGTGTGTTTGTGAGAAAGCACAGGACATTGTGCTTCAGCGTGTCTCTAATGTTTCTTGGTGTATTACTCATCTTTTTTCCTTTTATGCTTCATTTTGAATATTTTCTTTCTTTTTTTTTTGTTTTTTTTTTCCGGTACCAGGAATGGAACTCACAACCTTGCGCTTGCCAGGCAGGCGCTGTACCGCTAAGCTAAATCCCCAGCCCCTGAATATTTTCTTTTGACTTATTTTCTAGTTCTTTATAGCTTCTCTTAACTACGTCTTTTTTTGATTAAACCTATACTTTGTAGTTTTAATTGTGCTTGCTGTGTTAACTTTTGTATTATCTATTTGATTATTTTTTTCATTTTTTCAAATTCAGTGGCATAATTCTTTATCTGAGCTTTTCACTTCCTGACTATATTAATTTTAGTGATTTTGATCCTTATTTGTGATAATGACATTGTATGGACTGCCTGTGCATTTGTTTCTAGTTTTCCTTCCTCTGTCTTTTGTTGGGGTCTTATCTTTATGTATGTCTAGCTGTTTTTGTTTGCATGCCGGAGATTTTGAAATAATTGCAGTCATAATGTGAGACTCCAGAGAGTGCTGTATAGTGTGTTCTTTTCCTTTGGCAATTAGACAGGGACAGATCACTTTAATCCAATCAGAAACTGAAATGGCTTGAGGCCGTGCTTCTTCTCATGCTAGACTAATTTTCGTTGTACTATGAGGGCAATAATCCTTTAGGATCCTAACCAAAAGTTTGATGTATCCACCAGAGCTAGAGGGCTGGTAGGCCCTGGGCTGAAATTGGTGTTTCTTTCTTTCAAGTTTCTTTCCAGAGTGCCACAACTCAGCGCATTTTCTCAGGCTCTCAAAGCACTACTTTTGAGATTAGAATAGGAATTGAGGGGGAGAAATGTGCTAAGTGCTGTCCTACATAATGCTTAGTAGTAGTGTCCTTCTCTGATGCTTTCACACAGGTGTGTGTGTGTGTTTATGTATGCGTGCATGCATGTTTGTGCTGTACTGTCCAGCTTTCCTGATTGTTCTTATAAGAGGGTGGGTCTAGAAAACCTGGGCCACTGTTATCGGAAGCAGAAGCGCTGGAAGCCTTGCAGAACAGAGCACAGCACCTCCCCGTTCCCCGAGTCACTGTTGGTGGTTGAAGGGCAGGCTGTCCCTAGAACTCCTGTCTCGGTGCCTTCATCTTTGCAGTTTCTCAGTGTCTAGAGAGAGCTTTGTCAGGCACACTCTGTGGACCTTGGAACAGGTGATTCTGTGTGGTGGGGGCTATACTGGTGACTGCCAGATGTTTTATATCTGCCTGGCCTTTACTCACTAGGTACGAGTAGCAGTCCCCCGACAGTGTCTCTGGAGTTTATACCTGTCCCCTGGGGCACATCGCCCCCACTGACATGACTCAGTGTGTTGATGCTGTGTTTTCTAATGTTGACTTTCCTTTAAACCATAGGGTTTGAAACTGCCAAGTCTTTTGCTCTGCACGGTGCTCACGTGATCCTGGCCTGTAGGAATATGGCAAGAGCCAGCGAAGCAGTGTCACGCATTTTAGAAGAGTGGGTAAGCACTTGACTGTTTTGTCTTTTAATTGCCACATACGCACGCCGGGCTAAACACATGGACGTTTTAGTGCAGTGCATAAAGTTTATTGCTCTTGGAAGAATGTCTTTATTTTTAAAGTCATCTTCACATTGTTTACTTTATGGATGAAAGGCTGAGCAAGCCTGTTCTTATCCATGCATTTGTTTATAGTTCACTGTCAGTGTCATCTGCTTTATTAGTCAGAGGTTTGAGAATGTTTCCTCATTTAGCTCATTTATTAAGAAAAATAAAACATGGTTAACGCCCATGAGTGCAACTGGGAAGTTGTTATACTTGTAGTTTTTCAGATTAGAGAGGGGACACTTTAACCCTGTCCCTGACATTAGGGTTCTCTCTCTCATGTGGATACTGGTGTTGACGTTTTTGTGCATAAACATTTACTAGGACTGGGAATGCTCCTGGGACAATGACATAGCATCAAATAAAACAAATCCCTACCCCCGTGGCTTCCCTTCTAGGTAGGAAAAGCAGACCACAAAGGGATAACCATGTTTGATATTTAGCATAACACCAGGCTGTAATAAGTATGATAAAGCACAGTGAAGTAGAGTAAGGGGCAAGTAGTGACAGGCTGAGCTGTTGTAGATGGAGTGGTCAGCAGGACCTGTCTAAAATGTGACATTTAGTTGAAAACCCAAATGAAGCAAAGAGATAAGCCACTCGGATGCCCAGAGAAAGTCTTTCCCAGTGGTAGGAGCAGCATTTGCAAAGGTGCGGAGGTAGGAAGAGGCCTGGAGAGCTCAGGGGTCGTGGGGAAGGCAGGGCAGCTGGGGTCAAATGGAAGGAGACGGGAGGGGAGAGCAGGGCGATGGGGGTGTCTCGCAGGGTCTCAGAGACAGTGGGGAGAAAGACATTAGAGGGTTGGAGCTAGGGAGAGACTCAAGCTGATGGATATTTTTTCCTGAAGTAGACTGCATTCCCTCATTCCTATCCTTATGGAGTGCGCCACTGTGGTGGGTGGTTTGTGTTGTTAGCACTTCCTATCATCGCATCCTCGGTATGTAACATCGAGAGCATGTAACACCCTTACACACTGTCCACAAATGTGATGGTTTGCATGCCACCGCCTCTCCCTCACCCTTGATAATGGTTGCTCAGGCTTCCTTCAGCCTCTTCCTTATCTCACATCCCTGCACAGAGATATTATCTGGCATAGCCTTAAGTACCACCTTGTGTTTCTCAAGGTCGATTTGCTCCGCTCCAGTTTTTCAAGCTGCGAGCCAGCTTGAGTGTGTTCAGACGTTATCTGGGATGAATCATTTAATCATATCAGTATCCGGCTGGAAAGGTACTGCAACACATTGACACCTCACCAGAGTGTCTCAAAGTGATGCAGCATTTTTTGATTTTTTACCTTTTTGAGACAGGGTCTCGCGATGCAATTCAGGCTGGCCTTGAGCTCACTTTGTAGTCCAGGCTGGTGTCGAACTCGCAGCGATCCTCCTGCCTCAGCCTCCTGAGTGCTGGGATTACAGGCGTGCGCCACCACGCCCAGCTAGCAGTTTTTGTTGTAGCAGAAGCTCATTCAGAAGTCTCTGGGCCTTTTGGCTGTACGTTGGCTGCCTTGTGCCCAGGCTCTGTGGGTGTTCCCAGCTCTGGTCCTGGGGGTAGAGTCCATTTCTCCACCCACTAGCATCCTCTTTCCTGCCTGTCTTCCTCTTTAGCCCCCACTGTACTTTCTGGGATTGCCAGGTCCAGAATGCCCATGTCCACCTTTTAGCCAGTGGGATGCTTTTCTAATACTTGCAGCCCCCATTCACAGAACGCCTGTCATGTCCTGTGCTCTGGGCAAGACCTTTCATGTCGCTTGTGAGGATGCAAAAGCCCAGTCTTCTCCATTACAGAAGAAGCAAGGGACAGCGCTAAGGGACGTACCCAGAGCTGCATGGCTGGTGAGCCTCAGGGTCAGGTTACCACCTTGCTGGCTTTGAATGCTAAGTCTGCCTACTCTACCTGGCTTTTCTTCCACACTCAGCATCATGTCGGTTGTGACCTTTCGGGTTTTGTTTTCAGAATCTATAGGTAATAGCTGTGTGATTGATTTCAGGATTAGTCATATTTCTTACAGAAAGCTATTCTGACCCACCCCAGTATCTCTTCACATTCAAGATGTGCTCTCTGGAGCTCTTAAGCCACTTTTAGGGAGATCTGGCTGCTTTGTAAAGCAAAGCTTAGGTGAAAACACATTCCACACAGGAGTGTATTAAGAACCTACACCTAACTGCTACTAATAATAATTATTTGGTGCACACATGCCCTCATCCTGAGCTGTTTTGGGTGCTTGAAGGCTGGAAATAACAGAAGAAATGGAAACAGAGTGAGATGACGTGGGCAGTATAGAAGTAAACCACGCTTTTGAAAAGCCTAACTAAATTGGAGGAGAGAGGAGGAAGCCTATCAGCCCCCAGTCACATTGGACTGAAGTATCTCTGGAATACTAGAGATATATCAGAGGTGCAGTTTGTGCTCATGCTGTTATTTCACACATGTATAGATGTGGTCCACATCAGTCATCTACTACATGGATCACAGGCTGGTATCCTTTGCCTTTAAGCCAAGGGTCTCATCTTGTAGTTTTTCCAAGGAGCCCCCCTGTGACTTTTTAAGCAGAAAGTTTTTTTCTGTTTTCAAGGTGGAGGGCATTCTTTTTTATTCAGCAGCAGTGTCTGCACTTCCTTGGGAGTTCTCTAAGTCTGGGATGTATAGGTATATCGGAGCCTTGCACACCTATGGCTTATTCTTGCCTTTAGTATTTTATTGGAGTGGGTTTTTCATTCTCTCTTTATGGAGGTCTTGCCTATCCCACTCCCAAATCCTGTGTTTGGAGGACCTTCCAGGGGTACTCTATGTGAAGAATATAGCTGATTAGGTATCCATGTTGCTCTGTAAACACCCACAGGAAGACCTCAGTGTCCAACTGCGGAGTTCTTGAAAGGCCACGGTGGGGTTCCCGGTTCCTTCTCCCTCTTGACTTCTTACGGTTTTTACATTGTACTTTGTAAATTTTGGATACTTACAACATGGGATGTAAAACTTCTGGTCCTGAAGAGGATGGAGGTTGGGAAGAGCTGGAGCAGATGGGCCTGAGGTCACCCACTGATCTGCCAGCTGTTAGCAGGAGGAAAAAGGATGGGCCATGGGATTCAACAGAGGGGGAGGGATTGCCGTGCGTGGCCAGCTTGCCTCACGTGTGCCAGGCCTGCCCACCCACGGTTGGCTCATCATGCGCAGGGAAAGAACTGACACTGGATCTGACTGCCAGTGAACTCGGGCCCCGTGAGATGGCCCGTGGCTTGCATCCGCTGGGAAGCAGTGGACTGGCAGAGTAGGAGAAACTGGTGCTCATTTCTTGGAGTTCATGTATCTCTGGCCTTTTCCCATGTCACACAGGCAGAACAACCCAAGTACGTTTAGTTGGGTGAGGTTTGGCCCCTGTGAAACACTTTAAGCCCAAGCTTTCCTAATTTCTTTCTAAACTTTGCCTGGACTTCACATCTTCTCTGGGCTGGTTAGGATGGCCATCTTCCAGGAGAAAGAAGCAGGGCTCTGGCCCAGCTTGTCTGGTTTTCTTATGGCCATCAAACCAAAATTTCTAAGAGGTCCAAGAAAGGCAGTGGGGAGTGGTCTTCAAAGTGTCTCCCGGGGTACAGTCTTCTTGGTACACTGACCTTAGTTCAGAAGCTGGGCCTCATCAGTGGGCCTTAGAGCTGGTCTGATGCTGAACACATGAAGAACAAAAGTATGCAAAGTCAACCTTCCCACCCTCTGCCCTCCATGTCCCCCCAACGCCAGGTTAACAACCACAAGTGTCTCTAGGCTTTTGTTTCCTGGGGGGTCCAAATTGTTCCCAGCTGATTGCTGCTGTGATAAAATATGCTATATTATTAGAAGCAGATACATACTATTACCTTGGGCAATTTTTTCTTTTCTTTTTTTTTTTTTTGGAGACAGGGTCTCGCTATTCAGTTCAGGCTGGCTTTGGGCTCACTTTGTAGCCCAGGCTGGCCTCGAACTCGCAAAGATCCTCCTGCCTCAGCCTCCCAAGTGCTAGGATTACAAGCATGCGCCACCATGCCCAGCTATGGGCAAGTTTTTAAAAAACTTTTAAATTTCAATTTCTTCATCTATAAAATGCAAGTAATGACGTCTATGCCAAGAGATAGGGGTGGTTGTATTAAACACATTGGCTGAATGTTTGTAAAGCATTAACACGTTGTGGGGAAAGATGAAGTGCTCAATTAAATGTCCGCTGCTGCTGTTAATAACAGTAATGGTAATAATTTCTTATTCATACATGAAGTGCAAAGCGATGCTTACTTTTCTTAACCTCAGCAGGTGACCAAAGAGGAGCTGTAGGGAGGATGTTTATCAAAGCATGACTCAAATAGGGTTGCAATGAATTCCTTTTCTGTCTTCATCTGTCCGGACTCCTACATTTTAATAGATGTGTATTTAGTTTGTTGATTATTATTTTCCAGTGTGCACCTCATATTAGCACTCAACTGTCATTTGGAAAGCCATCTTAATTATTTATGTGATTGCTTTTTCCTTTGTATTTATGAAGAACTACACTTTGCATATATTTGAGAAAGATGATTAAGGGATTAGTCATCAGGAACAGCAAGCAGTGGTTTATATTAAAATGGCTATTGAGAAAGCAGAGAGATGAGGGGTAAAAACAGAAGATTTATTCGTTGGAGGTAATGGAATGTGCATGTTTTAGGGAGCAAGTGCATGGTCGGATGGTCACAGCCACAGGGTGCAATGCTGCGGTATCATAACCACTCCAGTTCTCAGCACAGTTGGTGCCAGCTTCTTTTATCCCCTTAGAGGAGGCCTGTGAAGCGCACTGGCAGCGCTATGTCAGGGCAGCCCCTTGGTAAGCGCTGGAAATGGTGACCTTAACAGCATTTTCAGGTAGGGATCCCTTGGTACCCACTATTGCACCAGGCACATGG